CCTCCTTTCATAACGTATATCTTGTCAATGACATTATATGAAACACCACAGCAACTAATGTCGGGTTCTATTTCTTTGATGTTTATATCGTCTGCCTCTGTCAAAAGTTTCAATAGTTCTTTCAAAACTTCATGAGGTGCAATGACATATGAGTTCACTTTTACAGGGTTGTGCTCAACCAAGTTTAACATTATACCTAAAGCTTGACAAATCTTCTCCTGAGTTTGAAGTTTGTCTTTAAGTTGTTGGTAGTCATTTCGAATATCTGCAACAGAACTTAAGTCTCTGCTAACTTCAGGATATGTTGGTTGTTCTTTTACAGGAACAATTGTTATACCACCATTCGTTTCGTATGGTTTCCCCACTTCAACATCTCTTTCTTTGACATTGACAATAACACTTTGACTGTTTGTTTGAGTTGGTGAATTTAACTTCACATCTGCCACCGCCATTAAACCTTTTGAAACACTTACGCTTCTATTTTTCGGAAATGACATTTTACTTAGAATAAAAAGATGGACGTATTTGAGTATCTCTTCGAATTGAAGCAAAACAAAGTTTACACACACAAACAATACAAATACATTGACAGAATAGTTCTTTATACAAACAATGGTAAATGTTATAGAATAGCAGTCTTTGCTGAACCAAAATATTTTCATAAAGCAAAGAAAGTTGGTATAACCGAGATGGTGAAAGTTCTTGAAGCAGACAAAAATATAACAACAAAACTGACCGATATTTCTAAAGGTAAGTTTATAATACAATACTACGTCAAAACTGGCGTACTGTCAATATTTGACGGAGAGAAGTCAGTTCAAGAACAACTTACTGACCTGCTGCCAAAATCTGCTCGATGGAAGCTGTCGTTATACCAATCTGAGGAGCCCCAGCAGGTTTCATCGAACGAATCTTCAAAGAGCATCTTCCGTGAAAAGTGCTATTGGTTTTGTAAACTTCTTTGCTCTCAGTTCATCTGGACCGTCTCTGTCACCAGTATATTGTATTTGTACAGTACCAACAGTTGAAATACCACCCATAAAGTCTTCTGAGTCAGCAAATGGAATGCCAAGCCAAAAGTTTGAACGGTCTCCATTTGTATATTGAGTTTTTTGAGCTCCTGTATGGGTCCATACTTTCACATATGGCATAATAGAACTTTGCATTTCAGGGTTAATGGTTGTTGTGAAGTTGTTGTTAAAGTTCATAGCATCTAATGTCAAGTTGTATGACCTCATATCCTCAACTGTAGAATATTCTTCTCTTGGATAATATTTGCCATCTATGTTTATATGATATTTAATACCGGGGTTGTAGAAACAAGAATAGTCATTTATAGTTCGTCTGAACAGTAACAAACATAGTATCTGCATGTTTCATTGCAGTTGTTAAAGCAATATCTGTTCTTGCACCTGGGTCAGCACTTTGGTTTTCCAACTTCACCTGCAAAGTCTTTGACAGATATTTGGTGTATAGGGAACATAAGTGGAACTGCAATATATTTGGCAGCTAAAGCATTTGAAATATCTGGGTCCAACATATAGACTGCAAGTCTGCTTTCTATTCTCTTGCATTCAAATTTTTCGCATGTGAACTTAACTGGGTCCCAAGCATCTCCAGCAGCATTGAAATAATAGTTTACTTCAGTGTTGAGGTTTGAGAAACCAAAGTCTAAGTCAACTTTGTTTTTGCAAAAGTCGGCGAATGACATTTTATTTGTTCCCACTACTTCTGTAAGAGTGAATGGGTCTTGTGTTGGTGCAATGACTAAGTTATTTTTGCTTGGAGTAAGTTCGATAGAAATTTTTCCTGCCCAGTTTGGCAAGTATCTTAAAAACCTGAAGATGAGGAAAGATGACAAAGGAACTCTAAGTTTCAGTTTTACTTTAGTGACAGCATTTCCATCTGAACCAGAAAGGTTAACATAAACTCCTGGAACGTTAGGGTCAAGTCTTCTTATTTTCTCAATAGTTGCATACTGGTCTGTTTGTTCTCTAGCTTGTGGTTGTACTGAGTTTCTCAAAGCGAACCATTCATAGTTTGCCCATGTTACTGTTTGAACTAAGTCAGAGTTAGAATATATCTTATATCCCATGAAAACTTCTGGAGCATATTGGTATCCGACATAGAAAATTCCATTGCAACCTTTCTTGTCAGACAACTTGGCAGAAGGTTTTATTTCATGTCTTGTTCCACGTATAAGAAAGAGTTGTCAATAGAAATTATATGAAACCTGTCGCAAGCAATATCTACTGTTGTTGAAGAACCTTCTCCAAACTCACCTACGTTTCCATAAGAAACAGCAGTTGTATATTCGTAAGTTCCAGGAACTATTTCTGACCTTCTAATGGCATTGTCGCATTCGTTATACCATTCGGAAACATTTCCATTCATGGCATCCAAAACTGTTGGCGTTATATTCTGAGCGGCGTACATTTCATATGAGTAAAAATATAGAATAGTTGGATTTATATGTCATAATAGAACCCACTCCGACCAAGCTTTACTTTCTTCCTGACTGAGTTTTTAACTCTTCTTTTTCCTTCATTGCCCTCTGCTTGAAGTTGTTGCATCTTTGCATTATGTTCATCTAGTATGTTGTAAATTTCCCATGTCCTTTTTGCCTTTGGGCTCTGGTCGCCCATCTCAGGTAACCTATATCCTAGAAAGAGTTTGTCATAGGTCTGTATTTGAGTCTTCGCGTATTGTTTGCATGACTCTTTCCTGAGTTTCCGGTTCAAGCTCTTCAAACAGTGCCTGTCCATATGGAATATGCTCGTTTCCAAATATATGTTTTTGTAGCCATTCTGGTTTCTTTCCATGTTACCAACAATATCTTTTGTGAATGGGAAAAGCTTTTACCCAATCTTTCAGTCTTGCGTCGTTTATTTCTGTAGTTGGTTTTATTTTGTCAAGGAACATGTTTTTCAATACTAACATTTCATTTGGTACTGTCCTTTAGTTTTCTTAAATATTCATCCCTTCTCGGTTCATTGTCTGCAAAGTAAGTTTTTATGACATTTTGTAAACTTTCGTTTGCAAGGTCATGTACAATAGGTTCTTCTTCTTCTTCGCTCTCCCTAACTTTCTTTCTAAACTCTTCACCAAATATACCATCTCTATGGTTCTGTGTAGTTCTTTGAGATAAATGTTCTAGAACGTCAGGTGTTATATTTCCATCAGCCATGTTCATTTCATACTGGTTCAAAATATCTGCATCTTTCATATCTTTCAATGGCATTAAAGCCGCGCTGAAAATACCAGCTATATCTGGTTCACCATTCACTTCCATTGCGTCTACAACTTCTTGGAATTGTGGTTGTAAGTTTATGAACCACCTATCCGGATTAGCTTTATGACCCCATCTCATTGTAGTTCCATCGTCTGCAGAAACAAAAGTAGGTTTGTTTCCATCTTGGTTAGGTTCTGAATGAACTTTAAACAATGTTTCATTTCTATATGTTTTCTTGAAATTTAACCTTTTATTTTCACCGAGTTCATCCAAAGATTGAACGTTAAATGCTCGTAAGTAAAAAGGGTTGTTGTATTTGTGTACATTTTCTTTCAGTACTTTCATTCTATGCTGAATATTTTCATCTGGTGTTGGAGTCTTTTGTATGTCGGCAAACATTTTTCGATATTCTTCTACTATGTCAGCCGAATCTTTCTTAGACTCTTGGAAAGATTCCATATTCACCTCATGCTCTTGTTGAGGGTCAAGATTTTTCGGCTGTTCCAAATCTTCATCTAGTTCTGTGAAGTTAGTTTCCAAAGGAAGGACTTGTTCGTTTCCTTCAGGCTCTTCTAGCTGTTGTTGCTGAACTATTTCTTCCATGTCTGGTTGTATCTGAACTTCTTCCTGTGGAGTTTCTTGTACCTCATCTGCTGGCATTTCATATATTCCGAGACCGTTTTTCAACAATTTCCCTATCTACGTCATCCGCATTCATAAGCTTTTGTTCTTCGTTCCGTCTCTATTTTTTACGCGTTTCATGACGAAAGTTGAATTGTCATTTAGCTCTGACATCAAATATCTCGGAGTAAATTCATCCATGTCATTTGGATGATATGCTATTAAATCATATCCCTTAGCGAGCTTGTATTTTCCAGGTTTTGAGATTATATCCGTTTTGGTGCTGAGCCATAAAGCTAAATAGGTTCGGGTCAGTATTTCCATCCTTGAACTTTCCAATAGCTTCTTTATATCTGTCACTAAAGTCAACAGTATCTGGGAAACCACACTCTTCTTTAAGCATTTTTAAGAATTCTTGGTTTCCTTGTTCTCTACTTCTTTTATGTCCTTGCTCTGTTTGTGGTTGTTGTTGTGCAGGGTTTTGAACTGTTGGTTGCTGTGCTGGTTGTTGTTTGGTTGTTGTGCTGGTTGTGGAGGTGGTTGTTGTGCTGGTTGTTGTGTTGGTTGTTGTGTTGGTTGTTGTGTTGGTTTTGGTGCATGCCTGTGTCTGTGTCCATGTGACGATGTAAATGTTTTAGGTAGTCCTGGTGCAGGTGCTTCTCTCTTGGAGGGTTTTGTGGTATATAAGTTCCACCAGCTGGCACATATGTTCCATCTGCAGCGTAATGTCCTACCTGACTTTTCGTTTTTAAGAAAGCATTTACTAGGTCTGTTTTGGTCTGTTGTAACTCTTTTTTCCGACTTTCCACAACAGTTGCTCTAACGGCGTCATAGGCACTTTGAACTGCCTGTCTCGTTGCTGCATCTGTTATTTTCGTCATATTTTGTGCTACTTCTCTTAACTCGTTGTCGAAACCTTCAGACTTCAGTTTCTTTCCAGATGAGAAGTCGTTCACTAGTTTCACCTTACTATGAAGAGCTTCGAAGGCGTTCTTAAAGTCAGCATTCATTAAAGCTTCATTTGAACTGTCTTCATCCGCTTGTATTTTTGTCCTTATTGACCCTATAAGTTGGGCTGCTTTAGCGTTGGCTTGGGCATCTAACCAGTCATTATTAGCTTTTATATATTCTGCGCTTTTCATTGCCTTTTGCATGGCTGCGTCGTTATTTTTACTTTCTTGTGCTAAGTTTTCATACTGTACGGTTTGGTTTTGCAACTGTAAAAGTTTTTCTGCCTTTACATTTGCTTCAACTTCTTTTTTATACTCATCGCTATCCATATATGTCTTCAGGGCTTTTTGTTTTATTTCTTCATCTTTCAGTACTTTATATTGAGTAGTATGGTTTTTCAAATTTATAACATCTTGTTCCATTTTTGCTACTTCTGCTGCTTTTTCTGACACTTTTTTCGCATATTCCTCTGTACTTAGTTCTTTCAGTTGTTCTTCTTTCTTCTTTTTCTCTACGTTTAACTCATTGAGTTTCTTTGTGTGTCTGTCATATTCTAGTTTCTTTTCGTTTTCACTTATTTGTTTCTGTATGTCTATGTTTGACTTTTTGACATCTGATATTTGATTTTTGAGTGAACTCAAATTCATTTGACTTTGAGGGTTATAAGCTGTTCCGTCTGCAGCTCCACCATAGCCTGCCATTTTCGCTAAAAGTGCCGCTCTTAAACCTCCACTCTGTGCACCAAAAACTCGGTTTAAAAGCATAGGATTGCTTGACATTTGTTGCAACATAGTGGGGTCATTCATTATTTGTTGTTGCAACTGTTGTTGTGGTGTCAGTTTTACTATTGGATGTTTCAATGCTCTCTTCCTCTTACGTATATTCTTACGTAGCTTACGTGGCATTTTAAGTGAAGTTAAAAAGCGGTTTTTGACAGATGTTTATATGACACTTTCTCCGGTTTATAGGACCTCTCTCATATTCTATCTTGTCATGATTTCATCGTATATGTTTTGTCAAGACTTCTTCGTCAATGTTTTGTTGAGATTTCTTCGTAATGAGCGTAAATCAGACAAAAATAATGTTTATGTTAGAATGTTAGATCTAACACCTTTTCTAACATGTTTTCTAACATCGTAGAAAACTCATGAATTTCATCGTATATGTTTTGTCAAGTTCTTCTTCATCTAATTTCTCATGAACTTTCTTGTCTATGTTTTGTCAAGTTCTTCTTCATCTAATTTCTCATGAACTTTCTTGTCTATGTTTTGTCAAAACTTTCTTGTCTATGTTTTGTCGAAACATTTACGATGAAATCATGAAAATTCATGAAAATTCATGAAAATTCATGAGGTGAGAAAACATGTTAGAAAAGGTGTTAGATCTAACATTCTAACATAAACATTATTTTTGGGTCATTTACGCTCATTACGAAGAAGTCTTGACAAAACATTTACGAAGAAGTCTTGACAAAACATTTACGAAGAAGTCTTGACAAAACATTTACGAAGAAATTCATGAGTTTTCTACTATGTTAGAAAACATGTTAGAAAAGGTGTTAGATCTAACATTCTAACATAAACATTATTTTTGGGTCATTTACGCTCATTACGAAGAAGTCTTGACAAAACATTTACGATGAAGAAGTTTCGACAAAACATTTACGAAGAAGTCTTGACAAAACATTTACGAAGAAGTCTTGACAAAACATTTACGAAGAAGTCTTGACAAAACATTTACGTTCATGTTTGACAAAACATATACGATGAAATTCATGAGTTTTCTACGATGTTAGAAAACATGTTAGAAAAGGTGTTAGATCTAACATTCTAACATAAACATTATTTTTGGGTCATTTACGCTCATTACGAAGAAGTCTTGACAAAAAAGTCAACGGCTGGTCGGCTGGGGTTCGGTCCTCCTCTTGGGTCTTGGGAAAAATTTCTTATGGGCTAGAGGGCGCAACGCGCCTGGAAGCCCTCCGAATAAAAACTTCATTTATACTAAACATCTTCAGGGCTAGAAGGCACGAAGTGCCTGGAAGCCCCACTCCCTTTTTTTTTTTTTTTTTTTTTTTTTTTTTTTTTTTTTTTTTTTTTAGATCTTCATAATATCATTTGAAAAATTAACCATATAAAAAAATCAAGTTAACAATTCACTTTTTCCGTAATTCAAAAATCAAAAATATAAATAATATATCTTTTTATCAAATATTATTATTATATTCTATGAAAAATGAGGTCCGGAAATTTTGCGGATTCCCGTAACTCAATTTTACGGAAAAAGTGCAGTAAACTATTCAAAATACGGAAAAATTGGTGTAAACTAATGATTTTACGGTAAAATCACGGAAAGTCCCGGAAGAATATATGTGCCTATATGAAATTATACAAAAATGAATCAAACGCATTTTAAAAGATTGTTCTTGTATTATAAATGCTATTCGCAGATTTATTAGTTGAAGAAAATTACCAAATTTTTGCCGATTTACAAAAAATGATTTACAAAGCATATTTTTATAAGGCTTTAAAAATCTTTAAAATGTGACCGGTGACGGAAATCCATGGTAACCAACCGCGGTTCCCGTTTGGAATGCCATATGTTACAATGTGCATTATCATATTCTAATGAATTATTCATTACATACATTTAAAAAAACTTGTTAAAAATGAAATTAAAAAATTATGTTTATTATTACGCTGTGAATGTGTCAACAGCGGTCATGCCTGTATCTGTATCCCATATTTGCCACAACCTTTCTGTATCTGCATTTGTGTATTTCGGTTTCAGCTGATACATTTGATTTGGCGTGTAATTTGTTCCAGTTAATGGATTAATTGGGAGATCTTCATGCGGTGTGTTATTATTGTACTCCCAAATAAAGGCAGGAATAGCCTGAATGCTTTGGCAGCGCTCCAATGTCGGCCAGAATCTCTCAATCTTCCCATTTTGGTAGGGAGAATGAGAGTCTGTATGCCGCCATTGGACGCCCCAAAGATCAAGTAGATCTTGAAAGGCGCCTCTATTTTCTGAACCGTTGTCGGTCCAGAAACAATAAGGGGCGCCAAATTCAATGAAGGCGGAAGCCGCAACGTTCGCTGTCGTCGCTGCCAGCATATCTGGTATTTGTATACACGCTAGGACTTTGCGGCTAAAATCGTCGATTATGCCATAAATATACTGGCCACGAACACCCTTAAAATAATGAACATCTGCGTGCCAGATAAGATTGGGTGAAAGCGCCCAATATCTTACTGCGGCGATGGGAACATGGGTGCAAGCTTCTTCCCATGTCATTTTACCTTCTTCAATCTGATTGGAAATACCAATTAGGTAAATTAGTTAGTATACATATCTTCAGTACTGTGGCACTGCGCGCCATCTTACCGAAGATATGTCAATCTGGCACTTTACAAAACCACTAACGTATATTTTACATCACAGATGCAATATTTCTAATAACCTTAAACTATTTCTGCCACGTAAAGTATTTATCACATAAACCACCTCATCTCACCTCTCTGTACGTTATATATTGTGCGCAGGTCATTGCCCATGGCAACTCCCCACGACACAATGCACGTGCATGAAAAAATAAACGTTCTCACTAATGTTTTCACAAACGACTTCACTAATGTAAAAATAAACGTTCTCACTTACAAAAGTATTGCAACTCCTCCCATTGCTGTGCTTCACATAACAACTCATAATCTTCTGACTCACTTTCTTCTTCATATAGGTCAAAGTCACTGTCAAAATAAATGTTAGTAAGTTTTGACAAAGCTAATGAAACACGCTTACCGTTTGTATCATATGCTTATATAAACTTTCCATTATGTTTACTATCATAAACGCTCAAACTAACTTTACCCTTTCTCCCTCGTATCTGATAGAATGTATTTTCACGAGGAACGAAGAACAAATTCTTGAACTCATGACCGTTGTAGTTTGTTATCTCAATAGTTTTCGTCATTTATATAAAAATAAAATAAAAAATAAACTTAAAAATTAATGATATCACCACCCTCACACGTATGAAAACATAGCACAAAAATAAATTTAGGTGAAGTGGTGAGATCTCACCTCTTTTTTCACCCTGTTGAATTCATTGCTTTATAACTCTCTTCCTTGGTTTCTTTTTAGTTGCTTTCTTCACGTCTGTCTCCAACTTGACTGTCTTTCTTCTTCGGCCGTAATGATACCAGTTACTTCCACCAGTCAATGGGTCAAATGGTCTTTCGTAAGGGTTTCCATACATTCCATAGGGACCATACGGAAGAACTACTGGTGGAGAAGAAACATTTTCTTTAGTTCCATCGAATCTATTTAAATGCATTGTTTCACCTTTCATCTGGTCATTAAAGTCTTTTGCGTGTTTTGCAAACTCATCGTCCTTTCCTAAAGCATTTTCTGACTCAGTCGCAACCAAATTGGATGCTTTATTTATGAGCCCTATTTTATTTAATCTTAACTTCTTTGCAACCCAGCCTCCAATCTTCCCTTTATTTGCATCTAATGTCTTCGAAACCCTTCCTCCACTCATTTTATTTACTGCGTCATAAGCTCCAAGTGCTTTTGCTCCAAATGCTAATGCTTTTGTTCCCATTGCGCCTAAAGCTGCCCAAGCTACCATTTACCCCATATTAAAATCATCTCTCTTCAATATTATCTCATAAAAGTTCTCGTTACTGGAGAAAGTCAATGAAACATAAACATTCTCACGTGCTTCGCCCTCACCACTTTGCGGTCTATCTAACTTCTTTCTTATCTCATCTATTCTCAATAAAATGTCTGAACAATTGCTAACATCTTCTACAACAGTTATTTCATCATGAATGACCTTCAAGAACAAGCTCATTTAATATGCAATTAAAATCATCTCAATAATGAGTCCATCCTTTCCATCTTTAGGTAGCACAACATCTTTCATTGAAGAAGGTTCGACAAGTCTTATGTTAAACTTACTGACAAAGTTTGTTATACTATAATGCTTCGGCGGCGAATACATGTAGTTTGAAAGACATAATATAGATTCTTCAGCAAATTCACTTATACTGGATTTTTATAACAATGTTCTCACGAGACCAAATACCACCAATTGACAATCTTGTAAGCAATCCTGCTGAACCTTCTACTGTAAACGTCGATGGTAACATTCCACGAAGGTCATCTATTGACATCGTTGAGTCACTGTATTTAAATATTTTCTTAAAGCAATCGTCATTATCTAACCATGCAATAGCTTTGAAGTTTTCATTCGAATATACATCTGCTTCATTAAATGTAAATCCTGACTTCTTTGCAGAGATGACTTTAAAATCTATTGAGTTTGTTTCAAAATTATATGCTATGGTAACTTCTGAAGGTAATGGATGTCCTTCCGCAGTCAGTTGTTCTCTCACTACCGTTTGAAGCTTTGTATTAAAAACTTTCATGTCATCTCCTGTATCTAAGTTCACATACACAGCAACAGGGAAACTATCTTGCTTCTTTGTTTCATCATTATATCTCAAAACATTAAAGTTCTTCAATAATATTGTTCTTCCTGCTGGAATACTTCGAACCTGTCTGATTTCAATAGCTTTCTCACCTCCTACATACTCTACCCAGTGTCTTGGATATTCATAAGTATACTGACTTTCTTGAATTTTGGTTGGTTTCATCATAACATGTTCATAGTATATCTTTATACTCTTGTCAGTTAGACTCGGTGCTATGTTCTGAATATTTCTGACTTGCATTTTTAATGGAGATAAAATGAAGCATTTAATACATGATGTAGATGAAGACATGAATGAAACTACAGACAAACTTAACTCTTCTCTCATTCTTCCTTTCAGTAAGGACTATGAGTTCTGTTCAAATGGTGTTTATTTCTATTGTGGAAAGATGGGGTCAGGAAAGACATTCAACCTCATTCGTCATATACTCATAACAGAACGTTTAGGAAACGACTCTTACTATGACCAAATCATTATATCAGCAACTTCAGACTCTATGGACTCAACAGCGAAAACATTTATGTCAAAAGTTCAAGCCTCTGTCGTTAAAGTTCCAGACAGTGAACTCATTGAATTTCTTCAACGTTACATTCGACGTAAGAGGAAATATTATGCCATCGTTGAATTTATACAGTCAGGAATGCAAAAGACTTCTGAGGAGATGGAAAGAATTATTGACAAACACCACTTACGTCAATACTCAGGAGTTTACGATATGAAACGACTTACAAACTACATTCTGTCAAAACTTTCAAAATACCCCTTCAAAAAATATCCATCAAACACTTTATTAGTTTGTGATGATTTCGCTGGTAAAAGTTTAGTGTCAAAGCCTGACTCACCATTAGCTAACATCATAACTAAAGTCAGACATTACCACTTAACTGTAGCAATACTTATGCAAACATGGCGTTTTCTTGCTTTAAACATAAAACGTCTCATAACTGACTTCGTTATCTTTCAAGGTTTCTCACGTTATGATATTGAACTCATTTGGAAACAGTCAGGTATAACATTACCTTTTGAAGAAATTTGGGAAGCATATAAGTCTCTCATCTCTCCTCGTTCATACCTTGAGATTCATATCATGACTAATACCATTAAAGTCAAAAATATTCCATGGGAACGACCAACATTGTTTTAAATCTTATGCTTTAATTGACTGATGGTAAACAAATTCCATGCATCTCTGTCGCCATTTCTGTTAATATTTTTGCTGTCATTCATATCATCCACTTCCCCATCCGTTAGCTTTTGAGGATATGCGTTAGAATAGCTGTTCTTAAATGAAGGCTTTTCACCTTTGAGAGCATAAACTCTATAACTTTCTGCATACTTTATGTTTGAACCTCCTGAGCCATCATTGACATAAATTTTTATAGGCTTCCACCCTTTGTTCATATTCCTGCTTCTTCCCTTTGCTCTTTTGTTCAGTAGTTCTACATCTTTATACACAGCTCCTGTCTCAGTGAATTCAACAATATTTTCATTCGTTAGCTTTACATTCAAACCCTTGTCGAGTATATTGTTCATTTCATACATATAAAAGGTTTTATTCTATATGAAATGAGAAGCAAATCCATCTTAGCTGGTGCCGTTAATGTTCCAATTGAACCAACATCAAATGTTGACTCACGAACGACAAACAATATTGTCATAAAGAACTATAGTTCAGAGTGTTTGAAAGAAAAAGAACCAGAGCTGAAATCCGTGAATTTAAACACAGCTTCAAACGCTAACGCTACATCAGATGTTAAGTTAGAGTATCCACCACTGGACCAAATTCTTTCAAGAGAAGCCAACGACAACCCTTACATAAATGTTCAAACAAATCCTTCAGATAACGTAGACCATTACCTTCTTCAGTTATACCAAACAATTTTACTCAAAGACGATAAGAAGCTTTTGATAAATCTTATAAGTAAGAACCAAATAATTCTAACAAAGGAGGACCTTGAAAATGTTATATCACGAATAACAGGAAAGCAATGTGTCATTGACTATCTCGACCCTGAAATCGAATGCTGTGGTCAAACACCAATATTCATGAAAATAGGTAACATCCGCATCATTGAAACACCAGGAACTACAGGAGTTGAGTTTAAGTATAAATATTCGAACGAGTATACAAAACTATCTACTTACTATAAGCTTTGTTTGAAATATGTTTTAGTAAATTAAAGCAACTTATAGTATCTATCCAAAACTTCTTCAACAGTATCGAACTCATCTTCATAATGCAAACCTAATCTTATTGACTTGGTGCAGTTTTCACTAACACAATATTTTTCTGTTCTCTTGACTGACATAACTAACTCATTTGTTTCATCAAACAGCAACAACCAAAGTTCATGCCCTAATACATAACATTCATACTTTATATTTTTAGCTCTGAGTTCTCTTGTAAGCTGTTGCATTTAATATTTTCTAAAAAGTCAACTTCAACAGTCATTCGCACTGGTGCCTTCAGTTCTACAGGCTCTCCTTGAAAGTCAACAAGTCTGAATTGCATGTCTTTCAAATTATGAGGACTAATGCGAACCCATTTACCTAAATGAGTTGCTATGACAGGAACGTTTGGAATGAACATTGAATTGACTGCATAACAGAAGGATTTATATTCTACTGAACCTTTACTATTAACTCCTGAAATACCTGTGACATTAGCTATTTTTGACTCAATGTACAAACAAGAAAAAACCAGAATTTTCGAAAAAGTGACACCAACTATTAAAGTTATTTTATTACTAGATTTATTTACAAATTATAAGATAATATCATTAACCGAATATATTT